TTCTGACCAATTACCATTGATAAAGAGAAATTATCTGTATAGTGCTTTGAGTATTACTGGTCACGTGTTCATGAAGTTCGATTTAACCCCTGACGAGGCAAAAATATTTTAGACTTCTCATCCCGACAAAAGTCATGCCACGCCCAAATTTTGTGAAATTGGATGTTTTTTTCTACTCACTACGGCTCATACATTGGACACATGGATTAGCTGGTGAATACAGATCACTGAAGGCGGTATTCATCCGAACACATTTCTCAGAAACTCTCTCTAATTGCTTCGCCCACCAAGAACACAAGTCGCCTGATCACAGTGAGAAATCCAACATGCCATCCAGGCTAAACGAAAGAAAGAATTTCCAGAAAGCAGAATATAAGTGATGCATAATAAGCATCAAGGAATTGATGCATCACAGAAAGTTCGGTAACACAACCAATCTGTTTTGGAGGATTTTGCAGGTAAAATACTACGAAACTATGAAAATTCACTCCGATGCATACCTGGGAAAAAACCTGCTTATGAAGTGGGATGCACAATTAGAAACTTAAATGAATGGAATTAGCTATCATGGAAATGAATGAAGCCTTCTGTTTGGACTTTGACAGATATCGAAAGCATGCGGGAAGTGATACAGCTCTCATGACATAACAACCAGAACACTTAACAAAAGCAGAATACTTCTAACCCACATAAACCACAATTGGTCCTGGCTTCGCCGATGAAAGTCAATCAGAAGTAGTACTTAGATAAGACAGCTGAGGAAGGGAACTGAGCGGAAGCATCCTTCTACCAGTAATATGAATTTTCCTTACATTCAAGAGACTCAGATAAACTCCCCAAGAAGAGGTAAACAGTCACCCCTCCTCCGACTGCAAGCACAGGCTTCAGGAATGATGAGGACATTAGATAGGCAATTCACAGTTCCTCGAAATTTTGTGCAACTTGAAAAAGTACACCTTGACACCACAATCACCTACTTATATTTTTTGACTGTATTCGGGATGATCTATGAGGATCTGATTGGACCCGGGATAAAGCCGCATATCATCCTTTCTCACGAATCGTGTGATCTATCTTCTGATCGAGTTACTATGTGAATGTATCATTCCTCACGCATTTTGTAATTTTGTGTATGACCAGTTCATCGTCTTTTGTCCCATCTAGGTGTTTGTCAGATCACCTGCCAATAAGAATAGTCCATTCTCACGGTTGTGAGCCAACTGTAGTGTTGTGATAAATTAAATATATACATATTTTGATTACAGCTTGATTCCTCACCGTATATTTGGTACAATCATGGAATTTTCAGCATGTGATTTCGGTAGCCTAAATTTTGCCGGCTGACCAATGATATCAGGTGTGCATCGGCAGGGGATCGAACCTCACACCATGCGCGTGTTCGGCGAGAATCCTAACCACTCTGCAACATAATAGATACACAATAATACAATATTTTACAGTCACAGGCCTGTCTTTGTCTATTGACATATGCGTAGCTCAATGAATTGGAAGGTACAATGGACAAAAAGACGTATTAGCGTACCAGTCGAGTTCATTGTGGTTAGAGTTGTGCAGGAGATGGTGGAGATGGATTGGACACTCGCTGAGGAGACCGCTGGGTGACATCGCGCGTCACCCGAAAGGGAAGCGGCGAGTGGGACATGGAGGAGATCGTGGGAAGAGGAGTTGAAAGAGTATGGACTAACATGCATACAGGTGAAAAGTATAGCAGAAGACAGAAGTGACAAGTGGAGACGTGCAGTTGAAGCCCTATGTTCCACTAGGAACCCAAAGTAGCAGTAGTAATAATATAATAATAGTTATGGAAAGGTGCAGACGTAACGAAGTAGAAACGGATTTATTCAGTTCAGTTCAGGTATAACAGGATATTATAGTCATACGTTTACTGCAGCACAGTGAATTACCAATTGAAAAATGTGACTCCGATTTCAACTGTCTGTATTTCCTCTCTGATATCTTTCTCTCTGCATCCCCGCTTACAATTCGTCTATAATCAGTCTGGGAATATTTCATGCTGATATGAAAATCGCTTATTGCATTAACGCAGCTTTTATAGGACATTTCACAATCAAGATTTCAACACACACTCACACAATCCATCACTAAAACAACAAGAGACATGTAATGGCTGAGGTAACTAACTGGTCTGTGTCGTAACAATTCACGAAATCTGACCAAGAATGAAGAGAAATCAATGGATTGTTATAATACAAGTCTGACACATGATACGCGATCTTTTCTCCCACATGTCAGCTTTGCAGCACACCAAACTCATATGAATGGTTAAGAGAATCACTTTCACTCTGAATAAATTGATTGATGCAGGAAATTAATCCATTCAGTGCATCAGAAATAATAAACTGTTCAGTCCACGATCTGTCATCGTCAACTGAATGAATGCAGTCAATTATTGGTTGATGGTGGACTAACAACGGAGCCGATGATAAGCGTTTCGTTCTATTTCGGACTCGTTACTGGATGAACCTGCATTTGCCAGTGAGTCATGGTGTCCCCATATACGCTCAACCTCGGATCGAGCACACCTGGCTAATAAGTCGATTTTAAAACCTAAACATCAATTAAGGTAGTCAATGATGTTTGAGTGTTCATCTCTCACTGGATACATGACCCTGCCAGTCACCGACCAGAACAAATTGGATTCAGGAAAGGCATATCTTGTGCTGATCAAAATGCAACTCTACGCATCGTCATCAGAAAAGCAAAGCATAGAATGACAGTTAATGACAGTCTCTACCACAATTTGATCAACTTTGAAAAGACCTTCACCAGATGGCGTTGACCGAGAAGTAACTTCGAAACTACTTCAAGACTAAGGCGTGCAGTGTTTAAGTTATAATCAACCTCATTCAACAGCAATACGACAATGCCACGTGTCACGCGATCCACAAGCGAAACTCGACGGTATATATTCGAAGTGAAGACAGTAGTCAGTCAGGCTGGTTGTCTGTTGTCACCGAAGATATTCTCAATATTTCTGGGGTACAAGATTATGCGTCAGACTGTGCACAGGGGTCGAAGAGACAAGAGTACGCTGGACAACCGATGAGAAGACTCTAGAAGATCTGGATTTCACACAAGGTTGATATTTGTCTAATTTCACACAAACTCGAAGACTTACAAGCGATAACAAACAAACTGGCTGAAGATTTAGCTAAGAAAGGTCTACAGGTGAACATCGATAAGACGGAGGTGATGAACATAACCAACCAATCAACCAACAGCGACAACAACAACCAGCAACAATCACCGTCAGCCAGACAGATTTAACAGAGTTTCTTCCTTCACTTATCTAGATAGTGAGCATCTTTTCGACTACAGACAGTCAAGACGGATGAAGATTTCAAAGCCGGTCGGAATCAGAAAAGGTAAGCTGCACCTTCATCAGTCTGAAATCAGTTAGGAAATATTCTGCACTCACCATAAGGAACAAGATTCGCACTTCCAACACCAATGACAAGTCGGTCAGTGCTCCTATACGGGTGACAAACTTGGCCAGTGTGCAAAGAAAAGGATTTCTAACAGGTTACTGCAGAATTTTATCAACAGCCTCCCACACCACTGGCTAGCTACATACTCAACATCGAATGGCCAGAAAGAATCAGTAACGAGAAAGAGTGAGAACAAACTAACAAGAGTCAGCAAGAGCGAATCACACAACAAATACTTAGGAGAATTTGGGAATGGATTGATCGAACATACATTAAGGGGCAGACGAATGACATCGCACGAAATGCGTGCCATCACTCGAGTGGAATGGCAACGGAAAGCGACGATTGGGTAGTCTGTGCGAGGGTAATATGGAGGAGATCGTGTCAGTGTGAGGAGATGAAACATTCAGGAAAAACGTGGTTCAATCTGCAAAAGACAGCAGAATATAAGACAAAGTAGAGATGTGTTGAAGAAGCATTATATTCCACTCGGAACTCAGGGGAACAATAATATTATCAGGCATTTTTCACTGTTCATCAGTCAGAATCATTGCTTTTCAGTCAGTGTAAATATTCACACTGACTGATTTCATCATAAAATAAAATACATTTTGATTAAATATCTATCAATAAATGCAAAATCCCACCTGCATTTATTCCTATGAGGAAAATGAAATTCATGGCAGACCAGCATCGACGAAACACATCGCCGTTGCACTTTACCCAAGCTACGATAATTCCCTGACAATGATGACGGATCACAATAGGAAATGAAAAGAAACCAATGTGGACTGGGCCATAAACTATCCCCATATGTGGTACTGTCTCGAATTGCATAGAACAATTCGCATAACAACTTGTCGAAATAACACATGACTGGTGCAAACGGCACCATATCATATTCTTATCAGCAAGAATTTCGACTAGGATATACGAGGCAATCAGATGAGTACATGCCATCACACTAATGCGTATAAATTTCTACATCTCTAGCTCTAATTCATAAGGAGAATTAAACAAATGGCTACAGAAATTATCATCTGGCTCTCATAGTGCATGAAAATGCATCCCTGCATAAAAGGAAAGCACCGAACATTGAAATAGTTCAACCAATACAAATATCGAAGGTACATTACGCCTCGATAAATTTCAATCCCCAATTCTTCACTGCGTTAATCGCTCACTCACATGTCATGTAGATAAATACACCTAGGGAGCGCCTAATGACTTCAACACTTTGAAGATCACGATGAATCGGTGACAGTTGGTATGAGAAGGAAGAATTCAAGAAGAATACATACGATTCATAAAAGTGATGTGCGGGCAATAGCTTTCACATCAAAAACAGTCGAGGTTTGACGATAATCAGGCATCCCATCACTAATATATCAACAACCCCCTTTTTTCTGAGTTCAGGAGAACAGTGAGACGCAAGGAGAGAGATTAACTTTCCACGAAAAATCAATAATTCAATGATGAAATGCGGATGAAATTGAATAATGTAGGGAGAAAACACAATACGCCAGTTTGATTTGAAAAGTATATTCAATAGTGAGTCAACAGAAAAGTAATAATAATATTATTGATATTCAGCAGTGAAAGTGTTGCAATTGACTGAGTATCATGCATGAATGCATCCATGCGTTGAATTCATCATGTCCTCCATCACTCAGAGTTAGTTCATACCTGAAAATCAGAAATCAGGAAGCATAAAAATATTGCAAACATGCTAATGAAGAAGGCTAAATTGAAGAAAAAGAGGGGAAATTTATATGGAACGTCTAAGATATGGTGAACTGACACAATGACTTGTGAATTGAATATGATGTGTTTTTGTCTATTCACGATGACGTACTCATTCACTGTTGATAGAATCACCTCAAAGTGCATGAACAGACACCTGCCAACCAACTGACAATGCATATTTCATTCAATACGCAGTTCCCTCTCTGATCAGCAGCTAACGAGATTGATGGAGCGAAAGGCTGACTCGAACTCACTATGGAGGATATGAGAGCATTCAGAGAAGCGAGGAGGACGGTTTAATATAGAAATGAAACATTCAATTCTATCTATAGAGGAGAACGGACGCCACTGAATATTAGGACATGTGTAGCAGTCAGTGTTCACCTGATTCACATGTTGCATCTCAGTTCGTACACTGAAGTGAACTGATTGAAGCCAGTGAGTTAGGGAGTGACTGAGTGAGTGAGAGAATGAGTAAGTGGGCGAGCGAATATTAATGTACGTAAGTAGACTCACCATATCGAGATCTCCAGTCTCTTCTAGGCTTTCCTGCATTCGGTGCACCTACACATAGACAGATAGAGAGAGAGACAGAAAGGGAGGTAGATTCATGGTAGTGACCGACGAGAATCACAATGAAATGAGCAAACATTGCAAAATGGGATATCAATATGAAGCAGTTAGTGCCACAATGTTTTGAAGAGTGAGAATTAAGTAAGCAAGCAAAAGTTCAAAACAATTTAAGTGCTCATTTCCAATGTGTATTCAAGTAATTGTGGTTAGAGTAGAGTGCATTTTGAATTAGTGCAGCAGTAACGAAGATAGACGCGAGGAGAGTAAATGTGAAAGCTAGAAACAATTGGAATGAGCATGTCATGTTATCAAGATGAATCAGTGCAATAGAGTAGCCATTCATTTGTGTACAAATAAACAGGATGGAATAGGTGACAATATGATTAGTAGAAGCATTGAGAGTGGTTAGTACTTTGACTTACGGTAACGATCTGCAAACAGTAATAGAGCGAAGGTGAGAGAGACAAACGGAGAGGAGATTGAAATGAGATACATACATAACGAAGCGAAACGACTTGATTTGAGTGGAATAATAACTGTGTGGAATAATGGGTAGGAACAAGTGGATTCCTGCATGTGTGATTATCTGCATGAGAATAGAGTGTTAGCCTGTGTGAGATTCTGTATTAAACCAGTAGAGGAGCATATTAGAAAATCATGATAGTAGCAGTAGTAGGTGTCGGGTTGAAAGCAAAGATCGAGAATGATTCACATTCAGCAGTAGAGGAGGAGTATTTAAAGAAAATGTGTCTCAACTTGTGAGTAGGAGGATGTGAACTGTTTGAGACAATCTTTTATTTACATGGAAACACACGTTAGGAATGCAGACGCAAAATCGGTGGAAGTATTGTATCTTTATCAATAGCATTATATCATATATTCTATTTATTCAATGTGTGAAAATGAATATTATTACGTAGAGTAGTGTATGGACTCACGATATGGCTTCGACGGTGATTTACTTCCAGCTGATGGCTTCTTCACTGGTGCACTTCGTGGTTTGGCGGCGGTGGCGGCAGTGGGGGCTGCAGCCTTCTTTGGAGAGGCGTCCTTCTTACCTGTGAGATATCATGGGAAAATATCAGAACAGATAGTCATTATTAAATCTAAATAACAGGGAAATTCAGCCGGTGATAAAGAGCGATCTCAATTTGAACGTGTTTCACTACTCAAGCACACGTCAGTATGCTTCTTCCTCTTCTTCCTGAAGTCCATGTGATTTATGAAGTGAACACGTGAATGTATGCCACTCACTCACTCACTCCCTCAACACCGACCACGAATCATGCGATGAAATCATGTTTCTTAATGTGGGAAAAAGTGATTCGACTACACGGAACTGACAATTTCGTCATCCCAGCGTGAAATAATCTCGAAACTAACCTTCTCCACATACACATGATCCTCAGGAACTGCATCCAGAAAAGTGTCAAACGAGTAGAAGAAAATACATCCATCTGTCAGAAAGGGAATCGATGAACACGCTGCGTGCATATGTGGTGTAAAAAAACCTCGAAGGAAAGGACTTAAAGACTTTTGTTAACTGCGTGATAATCGTTGCGGAGTAGTTCCGAAATTAAACTGTCAATCACAAATTTAGCAGTCAATCAACTGATAGAAAGATGACAGGATTATTAAGAATATCAGAAGTTCTGTTGTGAAGAATCCAGCCATTTACACAAAGATAATGTGGTCTACATACAGTATAAGTGGAATAATAAAATTTGTGCACTAACGATGAACTCACCAGCAGGGGCTGCTGGAGCAGCAGCAGGAGCGGGAGCTGCGGTGGCAGGTTTAGCCGCGTCAGCTCCACCACTGGGTGCGGCGGCGCCGGCAGCAACAGCGGCAGCGTCACCTGAAACAGAACAAAGGGATTGTGGGTAAGGAGATAAGTTGGCCAACTAGTAGATTAATGGTGATCAGATTCTGTAGATGAGAAAGAAGAAGTCGGCAGACACCTGAATACAGGCTGGACTAGTGAGTTCTGAATGCATGAGATGACACGCTGGGAATAGGAGGGATTGTTCCGACGAAGAGGGAATCATGAAGACAGAGGAAGACACAGAGACAGATCGAGAGGAGAGCAGGACATCAGTATCGGTCGTCCCCAGACATCATTATCTTAACATCTTTGACAGCATACGCAGGCTATTTTCTGCTGAATTATTGAATGAGTGAGTGAGTGAGTGATTGGCTGGTTGGCTGTTGAATGTTGGGTTAGCAATTTCCCCTGATACTCCGAATTTGATTCTCGAACAGCATGTCATTGAGCTGCAATTGGCCTGTCAATTGAACCGCCTGTTCACTTCAAACAACAAATCGAATGCTGGTCACGTCAATATACCACCGATCAACATCACATTACATAAAAAATATGGAAGGTTTGTCTGTGGTATACTCACCCTTGTCACAGTGAACAACATTCGGATAGGTGACAGCGAGTGCGAACACCAACAATGAGATCTGTGGTGAAGAAAAAAGGGACACATGAATACAGGTGAGTTAGTTAGCTAGATAGTTAGTTGTCATAAATGTTAAGGGAAGAATCAACTCACCAGTATCTTCTCCATTTCTGACTTCAATTCAATTCACTCCACTTGACTCCACTGGATTTTGATCTCTCGGTCAGTTGCATTCTCTTTTATAGGCTTTGACATGAATCGATCTCTGTGTTTGTCAGTTATTCAGTTCAGTTGGTTGGCTGTCACCAGTTAAAAGACATTACTGAATTTGATAATATGATCTCCAACTGAGTGATCTGTGTCACACATACTCACAATCGACTCACAGTTATTCCCTTGTGATCGACCTCTTCAGCTGACTTGGTCTCATACTGTTTGTCGACTTTCGCTGTGAATCGCGTTTACTGCAGTAGGTGTGCGAATCAATTCGATGAGTCGAGAGCGACGCGATAAGGATAGTAATCAGGTGTGCATCAAAATTTCGATTTCACCAATTCCTTGAAAAACGTCAAGGTAATGATACTGATTCCACCTATCTATAAATGAAGGTGTGAGATAGGTGGAATCAGTATCATTACCTTGACGTTTTTCAAGGAATTGGTGAAATCCTAGATTGTCCTCAGATGACTCAGAAACCGCAGATTCCTGGGAGATTTTCGATGTTGACACAGACTAATATAACGATGTAGTCTACGTGACGATGACTTCAAGCAAGATTAATTTTCAGGCATTTATCTATTAGTACCACCATCTACTCCGAACAAGTGTTGTGTGGACACATGAGGGTATTTGTCAAAATGAGATTTAGTCAAGCACGAGAGATGATATTGTGTAATGTGTATTCCGCTACATTCAGGGCTAATAAATTTTCGGGAGATAACTTGAAGCGGTATCATGATCCTGACTTGTGAAGTGAGAAATGGTGATATATATATATATATATGTATATATATTGCACCAATAAATACTGAAGCGATGACAAGTGAAACCATGGTGAGAATGAATTCGAAGAAGGAATTATTGACAGCCGTATGAGGAGCACCATGCGTTTCAAATTGAAGGAATCATCTGATTTCACCTCTGGAATTTGCTAAATGGCACTAGATTTGCGCGATTTGAAATGTCAAACCAAGCAACCTCCCTCTAAGTACTTGATGCTGTGCTTGTAAGATTCTTTTATTGAGTAGGTTGTAGTGCACATTGGCGTGAATACATTTCATATAGTCAAGAAATATTTCATTTGCCTTCGTTGTAAATTGAGTGAATCAGAATCAGCGACATCTCTCGAATAGATTCGATCAGTCTAATCCATGATGACGTCAGATTTGTAGTTAAACTCCAACACCTGTTGTGCAGTAGATCATTGAACAGTCGGTTCATCGCAGTGATGCTAAGTCAGAAAAGAACTACGTGATCTGATGAAACCCGGGAAAATACTTTTTCTTAGAGTTAGGCGAACCTTATATTTTCGACAGCCTACGCTAAATATGGTAGTAATTAGGAGATAATTCTAACTTCCCATAGAAACCAGTGTCCATCTCATATCAGACACCTTAAGAGAAGCTGATGCTAATGTAGTGTTCACTAGTCATTTTTTGACCCTTTAAGGTCACAAGTGCGTCGGTGGTGCAGTGGTTAGGACTCTCGCCAAACATGCACATGGTCCGAGGTTCGATACCCACTGACGCACACCTGATATCTATGGTCGTCCGGCAAAATTTACGCTTAAAACTCCATACTTGTACCAAAAATACGGTGTGGAATCAAGCTGTATTCAAAAATATAAAAATCTGAAGTATAACGCAATAGAAGAAGACTGTTTTGCAGCAATTTTTTAGAAAGGTAAACTAAGACCACATTTACTTTTCTCGTCAGTTCATCACGAAGACCAACCATTAATATCTGAATTGTTTGAAAACAGCGGCAAACTGTCAAGCGGTTATCAGCCGTTGATGGAATAATGTGAACAGTTTACCCCAGACGTGTGTTGTGAGGACACACTATGTTAGCCGTAACGTTTTTCCTCCAACCCATATTCCTTCCTCCACTGTATTCATCCCCGTACTCTGACAGTGCCTCACTGTGCTTTCGAGATAATATCTTAAGACGCTCAGTCTCCATACCTTACATCGCTTTATTTAGCTTCTCATGTTTCTGATTTCAGCCTAACTTGAAAGGTCAAGGTAGATTTTCTTAATCAGTTCGTTCGAAATTTTGATGCACACCTGATTACTATCCTTATCGCGTCGCTCTCGACTCATCGAATTGATTCGCACACCTACTGCAGTAAACGCGATTCACAGCGAAAGTCGACAAACAGTATGAGACCAAGTCAGCTGAAGAGGTCGATCACAAGGGAATAACTGTGAGTCGATTGTGAGTATGTGTGACACAGATCACTCAGTTGGAGATCATATTATCAAATTCAGTAATGTCTTTTAACTGGTGACAGCCAACCAACTGAACTGAATAACTGACAAACACAGAGATCGATTCATGTCAAAGCCTATAAAAGAGAATGCAACTGACCGAGAGATCAAAATCCAGTGGAGTCAAGTGGAGTGAATTGAATTGAAGTCAGAAATGGAGAAGATACTGGTGAGTTGATTCTTCCCTTAACATTTATGACAACTAACTATCTAGCTAACTAACTCACCTGTATTCATGTGTCCCTTTTTTCTTCACCACAGATCTCATTGTTGGTGTTCGCACTCGCTGTCACCTATCCGAATGTTGTTCACTGTGACAAGGGTGAGTATACCACAGACAAACCTTCCATATTTTTTATGTAATGTGATGTTGATCGGTGGTATATTGACGTGACCAGCATTCGATTTGTTGTTTGAAGTGAACAGGCGGTTCAATTGACAGGCCAATTGCAGCTCAATGACATGCTGTTCGAGAATCAAATTCGGAGTATCAGGGGAAATTGCTAACCCAACATTCAACAGCCAACCAGCCAATCACTCACTCACTCACTCATTCAATAATTCAGCAGAAAATAGCCTGCGTATGCTGTCAAAGATGTTAAGATAATGATGTCTGGGGACGACCGATACTGATGTCCTGCTCTCCTCTCGATCTGTCTCTGTGTCTTCCTCTGTCTTCATGATTCCCTCTTCGTCGGAACAATCCCTCCTATTCCCAGCGTGTCATCTCATGCATTCAGAACTCACTAGTCCAGCCTGTATTCAGGTGTCTGCCGACTTCTTCTTTCTCATCTACAGAATCTGATCACCATTAATCTACTAGTTGGCCAACTTATCTCCTTACCCACAATCCCTTTGTTCTGTTTCAGGTGACGCTGCCGCTGTTGCTGCCGGCGCCGCCGCACCCAGTGGTGGAGCTGACGCGGCTAAACCTGCCGCCGCAGCTCCCGCTCCTGCTGCTGCTCCAGCAGCCCCTGCTGGTGAGTTCATCGTTAGTGCACAAATTTTATTATTCCACTTATACTGTATGTAGACCACATTATCTTTGTGTAAATGGCTGGATTCTTCACAACAGAACTTCTGATATTCTTAATAATCCTGTCATCTTTCTATCAGTTGATTGACTGCTAAATTTGTGATTGACAGTTTAATTTCGGAACTACTCCGCAACGATTATCACGCAGTTAACAAAAGTCTTTAAGTCCTTTCCTTCGAGGTTTTTTTACACCACATATGCACGCAGCGTGTTCATCGATTCCCTTTCTGACAGATGGATGTATTTTCTTCTACTCGTTTGACACTTTTCTGGATGCAGTTCCTGAGGATCATGTGTATGTGGAGAAGGTTAGTTTCGAGATTATTTCACGCTGGGATGACGAAATTGTCAGTTCCGTGTAGTCGAATCACTTTTTCCCACATTAAGAAACATGATTTCATCGCATGATTCGTGGTCGGTGTTGAGGGAGTGAGTGAGTGAGTGGCATACATTCACGTGTTCACTTCATAAATCACATGGACTTCAGGAAGAAGAGGAAGAAGCATACTGACGTGTGCTTGAGTAGTGAAACACGTTCAAATTGAGATCGCTCTTTATCACCGGCTGAATTTCCCTGTTATTTAGATTTAATAATGACTATCTGTTCTGATATTTTCCCATGATATCTCACAGGTAAGAAGGACGCCTCTCCAAAGAAGGCTGCAGCCCCCACTGCCGCCACCGCCGCCAAACCACGAAGTGCACCAGTGAAGAAGCCATCAGCTGGAAGTAAATCACCGTCGAAGCCATATCGTGAGTCCATACACTACTCTACGTAATAATATTCATTTTCACACATTGAATAAATAGAATATATGATATAATGCTATTGATAAAGATACAATACTTCCACCGATTTTGCGTCTGCATTCCTAACGTGTGTTTCCATGTAAATAAAAGATTGTCTCAAACAGTTCACATCCTCCTACTCACAAGTTGAGACACATTTTTCTTTAAATACTCCTCCTCTACTGCTGAATGTGAATCATTCTCGATCTTTGCTTTCAACCCGACACCTACTACTGCTACTATCATGATTTTCTAATATGCTCCTCTACTGGTTTAATACAGAATCTCACACACGCTAACACTGGATTCTCATGCAGATAATCACACATGCAGGAATCCACTTGTTCCTACCCATTATTCCACACAGTTATTATTCCCCTCAAATCACGTCGTTTCGCTTCGTTATGTATGTATCTCATTTCAATCTCCTCTCCGTTTGTCTCTCTCACCTTCGCTCTATTACTGTTTGCAGATCGTTACCGTAAGTCAAAGTACTAACCACTCTCAATGCTTCTACTAATCATATTGTCACCTAATCCATCCTGTTTATTTGTACACAAATGAATGGCTACTCTATTGCACTGATTCATCTTGATAACATGACATGCTCATTCCAATTGTTTCTAGCTTTCACATTTACTCTCCTCGCGTCTATCTTCGTTACTGCTGCACTAATTCAAAATGCACTCTACTCTAACCACAATTACTTGAATACACATTGGAAATGAGCACTTAAATTGTTATGAACTTCTGCTTGCTTACTTACTTCTCACTCTTCAAAACATTGTGGCACTAACTGCTTCATATTGATATCACATTTTGCAGTGTTTGCTCATTTCATTGTGATTCTCGTCGGTCACTACCATGAATCTACCTCCCTTTCTGTCTCTCTCTCTATCTGTCTATGTGTAGGTGCACCGAATGCAGGAAAGCCTAGAAGAGACTGGAGATCTCGATATGGTGAGTCTACTTGCGTATACATTTACATCCGCTCGTACACTTGCTCACTGTCTCGCTAACTATTTCACTTACTGACTTCAATCACTTCACTGCAGTAAACCAACTGAGATGCAGCATGCGAAACAGGAGAACGCTGACTTCTGCACATGTCCTAATATTCAGTGGCGTCCGTTCTCATCAATAGATAGAATTGAATGTTTCATTTTCGTATTAAACCGTCCTCCTCGCTTCTCTGAATGCTCTCATATCCTCCATAATGAGTTCGAGTCAGCCTTTCGCTCCATCAATCTCGTTGGCTGCTGATCAGAGAGGGAACTGCGTATTGAATGAAATATGCATTGTCAGTTGGTTGGCAGGTGTCTGTTCATGCACTTTGAGGTGATTCTATCAACAGTGAATGAGTACGTCATCGTGAATAGACAAAAACACATCATATTCAATTCACAAGTCATTGTGTCAGTTCACCATATCTTAGACGTTCCATATAAATTTCCCCTCTTTTTCTTCAATTTAGCCTTCTTCATTAGCATGTTTGCAATATTTTTATGTTTCCTGATTTCCGATTTTCAGGTATGAACTAACTCTGAGTGATGGAGGACATGATGAATTCAACGCATGGATGCATTCATGCATGATACTCAGTCAATTGCAACACTTTCACTGCTGAATATCAATAATATTATTATTACTTTTCTGTTGACTCACTATTGAATATACTTTTCAAATCAAACTGGCGTATTGTGTTTTCTCCCTACATTATTCAATTTCATCCGCATTTCATCATTGAATTATTGATTTTTCGTGGAAAGTTAATCTCTCTCCTTGCGTCTCACTGTTCTCCTGAACTCAGAAAAAAGGGGGTTGTTGATATATTAGTGATGGGATGCCTGATTATCGTCAAACCTCGACTGTTTTTGATGTGAAAGCTATTGCCCGCACATCACTTTTATGAATCGTATGTATTCTTCTTGAATTCTTCCTTCTCATACCAACTGTCACCGATTCATCGTGATCTTCAAAGTGTTGAAGTCATTAGGCGCTCCCTAGGTGTATTTATCTACATGACATGTGAGTGAGCGATTAACGCAGTGAAGAATTGGGGATTGAAATTTATCGAGGCGTAATGTACCTTCGATATTTGTATTGGTTGAACTATTTCAATGTTCGGTGCTTTCCTTTTATGCAGGGATGCATTTTCATGCACTATGAGAGCCAGATGATAATTTCTGTAGCCATTTGTTTAATTCTCCTTATGAATTAGAGCTAGAGATGTAGAAATTTATACGCATTAGTGTGATGGCATGTACTCATCTGATTGCCTCGTATATCCTAGTCGAAATTCTTGCTGATAAGAATATGATATGGTGCCGTTTGCACCAGTCATGTGTTATTTCGACAAGTTGTTATGCGAATTGTTCTATGCAATTCGAGACAGTACCACATATGGGGATAGTTTATGGCCCAGTCCACATTGGTTTCTTTTCATTTCCTATTGTGATCCGTCATCATTGTCAGGGAATTATCGTAGCTTGGGTAAAGTGCAACGGCGATGTGTTTCGTCGATGCTGGTCTGCCATGAATTTCATTTTCCTCATAGGAATAAATGCAGGTGGGATTTTGCATTTATTGATAGATATTTAATCAAAATGTATTTTATTTTATGATGAAATCAGTCAGTGTGAATAATTACACTGATTGAAAAGCAATGATTCTGACTGATGAACAGTGAAAAATGCCTGATAATATTGTTGTTCCCCTGAGTTCCGAGTGGAATATAATGCTTCTTCAACACATCTCTACTTTGTCTTATATTCTGCTGTCTTTTACAGATTGAACCACGTTTTTCCTGAATGTTTCATCTCCTCACACTGACACGATCTCCTCCATATTACCCTCGCACAGACTACCCAATCTTCGCTTCCCACTGCGATTCCACTCGAGTGATGGCACGCATTTCGTGCGATGTCATTCGTCTGCCCACTTAATGTATGCTCGATCAATCCATTCCCAAATTCTCCTAAGTATTTGTTGTGTGATTCGCTTTTGCTGGCTCGTGTTGGTTTGTTCTCACTCTTTCGCGTTACTGATTCTTTCTGGCCATTCGATGTTGAGTATGTAGCTAGCCAGTGGTGTGGGAGGCTGTTGATAAAATTCTGCAGTAACCTGTTAGAAATCCTTTTCTTTGCACACTGGCCAAGTTTGTCACCCGTATAGGAGCACTGGCCGACTTGTCATTGGTGTTGAAAATGCGAATCGTGTTCCTTATGGTGAGTGCAGGAGATTTCCTAACTGATTTCAGACTGATGAAGGTGTAGCTTACCCCTTCTGATTCCGACCGGCTTTGAAATCTCCATCCGTCTTGACTGTCTGTAGTCGAAAAGATGCTCACTGTCTAGATAAATGAGAGAAGAAACTTCTGTTAAATCTGTTTGGCTGACGGTGATTGTTGCTGGTTATGGCTGTCGCTGTTGGTTGATTGGTTGGTTATGTTCATCACCTCCGTCTTATCGATGTTCACCTGTAGACCTTTCTTAGCTAAATCCTCAGCCAGTTTGTTTGTTATCGCTTGTAAGTCTTCGAGTTTGTGTGAAATTAGACAAATATCAACCTTGTGTGGAATCCAGATCTTCTAGAGTCTTCTAATCGGTTGTCCAGCGTGCTCTTGTCTCTTCGACGCCTGTGCACAGTCTGACGCATAATCTTGTACCCCAGAAATATTGAGAATGTCTTCGGTGACAATAGACACACAGCCTGACTGACTCCTGTCTTCACTTCGAATATATACCATCGAGTTTCGCTTGTGGATCGCGTGACACGTGGCATTGTCGTATTGCTGTTGAATGAGGTTGATTATAACTTAAACACTGCACGCCTTAGTCTTGAAGTAGTTTCGAAGTTACTTCTCGGTCAACGCCATCTGGTGAAGGTCTTTTCAAAGTTGATCAAATTGTGGTAGAGACTGTCATTAACTGTCATTCTATGCTTTGCTTTTCTGATGACGATGCGTAGAGTTGCATTTTGATCAGCACAAGATATGCCTTTCCTGAATCCAATTTGTTCTGGTCGGTGACTGGCAGGGTCATGTATCCAGTGAGAGATGAACACTCAAACATCATTGACTACCTTAATTGATGTTTAGGTTTTAAAATCGACTTATTAGCCAGGTGTGCTCGATCCGAGGTTGAGCGTATATGGGGACACCATGACTCACTGGCAAATGCAGGTTCATCCAGTAACGAGTCCGAAATAGAACGAAACGCTTATCATCGGCTCCGTTGTTAGTCCACCATCAACCAATAATTGACTGCATTCATTCAGTTGACGATGACAGATCGTGGACTGAACAGTTTATTATTTCTGATGCACTGAATGGATTAATTTCCTGCATCAATCAATTTATTCAGAGTGAAAGTGATTCTCTTAACCATTCATATGAGTTTGGTGTGCTGCAAAGCTGACATGTGGGAGAAAAGATCGCGTATCATGTGTCAGACTTGTATTATAACAATCCATTGATTTCTCTTCATTCTTGGTCAGATTTCGTGAATTGTTACGACACAGACCAGTTAGTTACCTCAGCCATTACATGTCTCTTGTTGTTTTAGTGATGGATTGTGTGAGTGTGTGTTGAAATCTTGATTGTGAAATGTCCTATAAAAGCTGCGTTAATGCAATAAGCGATTTTCATATCAGCATGAAATATTCCCAGACTGATTATAGACGAATTGTAAGCGGGGATGCAGAGAGAAAGATATCAGAGAGGAAATACAGACAGTTGAAATCGGAGTCACATTTTTCAATTGGTAATTCACTGTGCTGCAGTAAACGTATGACTATAATATCCTGTTATACCTGAACTGAACTGAATAAATCCGTTTCTACTTCGTTACGTCTGCACCTTTCCATAACTATTATTATATTATTACTACTGCTACTTTGGGTTCCTAGTGGAACATAGGGCTTCAACTGCACGTCTCCACTTGTCACTTCTGTCTTCTGCTATACTTTTCACCTGTATGCATGTTAGTCC